TCTTAAAGGTCTTTTCCAACCTAAATGATTCTATGATTCCAAGTTATTAATTAAAAAAGAATAGTTTGTACTACTAGTTTTGTTGAACTGAGTTAACTTCAGTTAATCACTGAAGTCCTGTGCAATAGCTAAAACTACCAGTTTGAAAGCTGAGTTAGGTGATTTAGTTTCTCACCTGTTATTACCTGTGCTGTGGAGTTTCTTGATTGTAGTAGTTTTATGTAATAATAAAATTATGTTGTACTTTGTTTTTAAGAAGGAGAACAAATAGGTTAGAATGTACTTATTATCCAAAAGGTACATTCACTTTTTTTTTTTTTTTAAATTACATAATGATGGGGAGTGTAGTCTGGATTGAATGCTTTTTGTTTCTGACTGCCAGAGTGTTCAGAGCATCTCTATGAAAATAAATCACTGCAGCATATGCTTTGAGGTAATTATTATTTGTACTGAAGGCAAACTTTGGTCTATCATATAAGGCTTTATAAAACACCTCAAGTAGCTCTAATGGTATGCAGTTAAACCAATTTAAGCAGCTGTCACACTGTCCTCATCCCCTAGCAAGTCTAACTTCTGTTACGACTAGTACCTTCTACTGCTAAAGTGGTGGCTCATTTTGTAAACCGATCATCTTTTTTTCCCTGATATTTTGTAGTTTCTACTCTCATATTGCTGCATTTTTAATTTTTCCAGTGTTACTGGAAATATTTTGTTTCTCGTCCAGATTAGTATATACACCCAAGGTAGCTAATTCTAGTGGTTAAAACTTGTGAATTGGGTCAAGATGCTTAATTATAGAGAAATATACAAGGCATTTTAGTCCTTCCTCTGCTACAGGCAGCCCTCTGATATAGACTGCTCTTCAGTGTGCATTCCCATAGCTAAGGCAGAGCTTTGTTAAACATCATAGCATACAAGAAACCATGTAGTGAAATCCCTTGCAAGGTACTGTCTGTTTATACTTTTGACTGTCAGAGATTATAATGATCAGGGAATGGGCGACAGTGAACGGATGACACTGATGGTTACTTTAGGAAGTTTCATTGCAACACAGACATTTCTAAAGCAATGTAGAAACCTATGTGAATGAATATGATCAATTTGCAGGAAGCGTATGGTTGAATGCTTCTGTATTTCATCCATCTCTTCATGGAATTTGAGGTTCTGTTTAGAAGTGAACCTGTAACAGTAGCAACTTCGTGCTTTGAATAGTGTTCAGTAAGGCCCTTTGTACCTTAGGATCAGTATAAAGATACTTCACAGTATTGTTTTACTGTTCCTTCCAGGATAAGATAACTTACAGGCTAAATATTTAAAGATGTAATGGAAAGAACCTGTAAAGATATTAGAAATGAGCACGTTTCTTTACCACATAATACCTGAATGTGATATTACTGCACATATAAAAGCTTCCATTTTTTTTCAGCCTGTCTCAAGCTCACCATTATGGTTCGGATTTTATTCTTGCGTGAGAAAGATACTCACTTTGAATGAGAATAATTGTGTTTCTTGGTACTTTGAAACCAAACCACAGATTTCTTTCATGATAAAGCAAAATGTTTGACTGGGGAAAAACATGGCATCTGTGAAATGATAAACTAAGCTAACAAGAGTGTTACTTTTTCCTTTATTCAAAGAAAAGGAAACCGACCTTGCAAAGCAACTTGAAACCATTCATTTCAGTGCTTCTTGTCTTCAGTAATAGTGCTTTGGGTACATGCCCAGGCCATATTAAAATGATTGGATGGAAACACTGTTTAACCAAAATGTATTTGCCAATTTGCCTGAAGGATGAATTTGTGCTTTAAAGAAATCATACTTCTTTGATCAACTAACCTTATTGGTCAGCTGCCTCTCCTGTGCTTATACAAACACTAGGTCAGCTTCTAGTCATGACTGGAACATCTGATAACTAAATGATTTATATTTGTTCTCTGAATAGCGGTATAATTTGAAGTCAGTGTTCCAGAATGACAGAATGTGACTTGGGATTGAACTATAGTAGAATTTTTTTCAGACACTGGAAGATTTTGAAACGGTTTTGTAGCATCTCAAGGTACGGCATGACATGAGGATTTTTTGAAAACTACCTGGATTACCAACATTGAGAGGCAGTGCCAAGCTTCTTTGCACTCTGTAGTGTTCATGTGTCTTCAAAAGCCTGGAGATCTTGTTCTGAAGGCTTGCTACCTTCTACTAAATGCTTTCTGCACTATTTTCTTCATTGGTGGGAATTAGGCTCTCAGGTTCTACGTATCTGATGTAGCTGTCTGGTTTTATTTATTTGTATGAATCAGAGGAAAATTTCTGCTGGACGCATACATCAGCAGTGGTGCTTTTTCATTTTTCTACCTCCCGAGTGATCTGTTCAGTGGGCTTTAAGGGCTAGTATGGATTTTACCTAGAATGAATTTCAACACAGTTTTTTAATGTATCTGAAACTTGATATGAGTGTATATTTGTGTTCAATATATGAGACATATGTAGAAATTGCAAGTCTGTATGGATTTTACTCATGCAGCTAGACTGGATATGTATCTTATCAGTGTTTCTCTTTCAGACTGCAAATGGATACATCTTATTTTTTGAAATCCCGTCAGCAAGAGACAAGTATCTTTATGAGCCAGTGTATCCCAAGTAAGTATTTTAAACTTTCTTTGTATCCCCACAGGGTGAAAAAATGTGACAAGTCCTAAGCAGATTTTATGATAAAAAATATTTCCTTCCAAAGTATGTTTTAAAACTTGATGAGTGTATGAAGCATCATTCCTATGAGTTAGAGTTAGTTCAGAGGAGAAGTTGGTCTAATTGGTTTGCTGTGCGCTGGTAAGATTCCTTAGGTCCATCTTACAAGCTCTCAAAATCCTAAATAGCAGGGTTAAAATTGTCTAGTTTTGTGGTTTGAGGTAGTCTGCTGAATTCATGATCTGTAAAAAGCTTTAATAATTCCTGTTGTGTAGCTCAGTTGAGTAAGTCATGTTCCTTAGGAACTATTAGGGTGCAATTTTTTAAGAGGTTCCTCTCCACCCCCCAACTTTGTAATAACTAAGAGATTTTTGAAACAAATGGGAAATAAATTCTCAATATTTTTGAAAGAATATGAATAATTTTTAGTAAGAATGTTCAAGTACATTAGCTGCAGTGTGTTATGTTGTCATCATCTTACTTTCCTTATTTTGAATGACAGAATACATCTTATGTGATAAAATGTGACTGTATGTTGGATGTATTTGTGGTTGACTTAGTTGACTTTGGATTTGACAAAATTGGGAAATACTTAGTTCAAATTAAAACCGGAAGGAGTGTATTTATGTGTGTCTGTATGTGTTTAGATAGGCAGAATCTGTAGTCATTGACTGGATCAAATTTGTCCACAGGAATAATAAAACAGTCTTGACTTCTCATTGGCTAGAAACTGCCGTTTTGATATATCTCTATATATACACCTTTATCATTATGTTAATGCTAGTCAACTTAATTTTTTTTCATATTCATAAAACGAGTTAAAGTTGATTGGGGCGTGTCTCCAAATGGACATCTGTGAGGGGTATAGGATAGCCTATGATGTCATGTAAGATGAAAACATTTTGATTTTTTTAAACTGTAACTGTTAAACCATGAACATTTAAAAAAAAAAAAAACAGGTCTTCATGAACATTTAGATCTCTATTCTTTTACAAGTGTGTATAGAAGGAAATGACTTGGCAGGTAGTACATGATTTCAAAGTGAATTCTTGCTCCACTGAATGGAAAAATTTGTGTGTGTTGCTACTATAACGCATCTTTTGGCCTCTGAAATAGCCCTCAAAGCTCTGGAATTAAATGGAATTTACCATTGCAACTTATGTGTCTATTTTCCGAAAACTTAAGAGTGACGTAGACAAGTTCTATTACTTTACTTGTCTTTTCTGAGACCTGAATAGCATTTTTCAAACTGACTTACTGTCATCAGGAGAAAAAAAAAAAAAAGCAGACAACCTGTTGCTGCAACCTGTTGAAATAAATAAAGGCATAGTGTATCTTCAGCTGTACATAATGCAAAAGACTAAACAATGATTTATGGTATGTTCTTCTTCCTCTATTTGGAAAGTTGGGTTTTTTATTGGCAAAATCTGAAAATACATGGAAATACGTATAAAATATGCACTAAGAGTTAAAAAAGAAGGTTTGGGAAGTTTGTTTAGACATGCCACATGTAAGGAGGTTTGAAAACACCTATTAAACAGTCAACGACTAACCAGTCTAACTTTATATAAAACATTGGTAATTGATTTGTGTTGTCAACCTAAAAGCGTGTATTTTAAGAAAAAGTCTTTCTGTTAGCTGTGTGTTGAATGGTCAGGATTCTAAGATATATTTGTATAGCCCAAAAGGGTATAATGCTGATTCTGTGGATGAATAAGAGAAGTTGTTTGTCCCCAGACTGTTTATGATAGGTTGCTCACAATCTCCTAAGACTAATGTATGTGCTTAACTTGAAGAGGATGAATGATCTCACTGAATTTACTGGGATTACTAATCTGTCTATATTTAGACCTCAATTTTGAAAACTTGTATAAAATTACTACTGTTCTGGTTATATAGATCAAAAGAAAGACACAAGCATTTGTGTGTTAATTATGCCTGCTGTGATTAATGTAAAATTATTCTATAAGCTGTTATAATGGGATGAACTTTACAGTGCACTGCCTGTAGGCAGTTTCACTAATTTGCTTTGTAGATTAAATACTAATAAAAACCCAAACAAGAAAAAACCTAACCCAAAATGAACAAACAGCCAAACTAAACCAAAAGCCCAGAATTGAAACTTTTAACTTTCTTCTGGCATATGTTCGTTTTCCAAAGACATTATTTCACTGAAATGCTTGGATTTCATTTCTACTGGACTGAACAATACCAGATTAATTTTGTTAACTCTGAAGCAATTAAAAACCAGTGAAAGGCCTCATATGTACCTTGCCTTGTGCTTGAAAGGGGGCGTGTTACTGTTTTCTCCCACCGGAACAGTGTGTTCTTGGCTCCTTCCTCTATGTTGGCAGCAGTGATTATGCAGCTGTGCCTTAAGTCAAGTCAGGTTGCTGACCTGATGGAGAAACTAAACCTGCCTACTCCCTTCTTCACCCCTCTCCGTCCCCTCCCCCGGTTTCCAGGCACTTAGCTTGCAAGTTGGCTTATAATAAAAGGCTGGCATTAGAAAATGGTGACCTTGAAGTAGCATGGAGTAGCAACACTGGGAAGTTCAAAAACATGGAGTGACTGCCCAGTGATACTCAATTGATAATTCTCATATGATAGTTCATGATAAAGCAATTGCTTGCAACATTTTAACTCTCATGCAAATATTAATTACTACTTGTCCAGCTCTATCTTACATGGTTATTTACCTGTGTAAGCAAAGTGAGGGGGAGGGTGTGGTGATTTTTGCAGAGAGTACAAGATGTAAGGCTGTCCTTGCATTAGTGGTGTGATAGGACAGCTGCTGAAAATAAGTAAAAACAGTGAAATGGATGGACAACAGGTTCAAACAGGTCTCCACACTTTGCATATTTGAGGTAAAGGTTTTTTTGTCTTGCCATTCTTTTCTTTGGACACCTCTACAATATAAGAGAAAATTAAGAGATGTTGTAGAATATCATAAGTCGTGTTTTTTGTTTTTCTTTTTTTTTTTCTTTTTTAGCTAGTGAGTGTACTTCTGTCAGGGCCCCTAAAAGTTCAGTCTTAGCCTACTTTTTAAAAGTATGAATAATTATTAACATTGATGAACTGTCCATACCTACTAACTTTTTGTAAGCAGGATGAAGCGTGTTCTCTAGTATCCTTTCTTTAAATAATAATGGCCCGTTCTGACAGAAACATAAAATTTCAATGTAGTGACTACAAATGTAAAGGCAAACTCTCTTAATACAACTTCAGCTTGAATAGAATTCTTAAGCAGTGCAGGTCAATGTAATGAGGTGATCATGCAGCGGCAGTACACACCAGTAACATCCTCAGCTGCACCAAAATCCTGGTGCAAGATTTTCTAGTTTAGTCCATATCCTGAAGTTGAACTTGCGGCTAGGTTTGATCCCATACAACGGAAAACATTGGGAAAGGTTGTGTTTAAATTCTGCTGTCAGCTTTGCTCTCATTTAAATGAAATGTGTATATTTTACCATAAGTAAAAAAAGAATGTCAGAAAAGTGGGTGATAAGGTATATATGATAGACAGCTAATTTCTTGACTTTAGTTATTTTTGCAGTCTTCCAGATTGGGACAGTGGTAGCTCCAGCAGAGTTACAGCATTATGTGGTATTAATATTTTTTAAATAACTCCTTTAAAATTTGCTTGATAATGGTTTAGCCTTGATTTGAAGAAAGTGACCAAAAAAAGTTGCTGGAAATAAAAACCGCTCCTTATTTGTCCATATGGGAGAGGGATGTTTGTGGAGAAAAAGTACAGCCCTTCCAGTTTATAGTTGTTACTGCACAGAGTTGTTACTATATATGGCTGTTGAGCAAGATGACCCAGAAGAGCTTGCCTATATTTGATCTGTTAACAGAATTATTCTAGCATATAGTTGTTGTGTAAACTGTAATTACACTTGTAAAAGTTTTTTGCTGGTACAGCTTGAATGAAATACCTCAAGGTAAGGAAAAAACAAAACAAAACTGCATAAGAAGTGACAAACACTTTTATTATTTATAACTCAATACGCATTACAGCATATCTAATCACAGTACAATTTTTGGTTTTTTAGGGTAAAGTCTCTTTCTTCTCTCCCAATCTAATCAACACAGGTTTAGCAGAACAGCTAAAGTGTGAGTTGAGGCTAAGCTCTCACTGTGTTTGAATGCAAGAGTCTCTGCTTCCCCTTATCTTTTAGTAGTGTGAAATAACCGGATTTTGGAAAGTAAGGTTGCGTGAACTCCCCCTGCCCCCTGCTATTGTTTGTTTAAAAAGAGGCAGAATCAGAGTTTAGGAAAATTGATTTCCTGTTTAAAAATGCCCATATGGCATGACTTCCTCCTTTTCATATCAACCTATTGTAATGGTCTTTATATTCTAAAATTCAGTGTTTTAATGGAAGTGCTGGAATTCAAGATTATCAACGTTTGCGGCTGGAGCCCACAAAACCTTTTAAGTTTGTTCAATCAATATCTGAGGGCATAGCTTGTACAAAATTCAGACTATATGAAATACTTTAAGATAGTTGAGTGGGAAATTCTTTTTAAACACTATTTTATACCGTTAGAGGTTTAATCGGTTTGAAATATACTTATGTGGATATGGTAGGGGTTAAGGAACTGACCTTTTCAGTGTTATGCACATTTTATGTAAAATCCATTGTTAGATTAATGGGATAAAACAAGTGCTTGTATCAGAAGCGCAGCATTTTGTCATGAATTACAAGTATTTCTATATTAAAAAAGGAAGCTTTTTAAATTTTTGCTGAAGTTAATTGACAGGTTTTTGTCAAACTAGTATTTTAGGAATGCTACGAATTGCAGTTGTTCTGTTGAAGGAAATATTTCTGGCTTTGTTGATACTTGGCTAGGAATTGCTAGTCTGTTCTTGGAGTGAACAGACGTTCATACTCAATGAAAACCTGAAGTATCCTGCTTAATTTGTTAGACTAAAAACAGGGAAAAAAGCA